GTGGGGAGGGGGGCCCTGACCGGCCTCAAGGCTCCAGGCCCGGATCCCCACCAGCACCTGACTGGCCGCTTGGGAGGCACCCGCCTGGGACTCGAGTTTCCGGTGCCCTTTTCTAGGAAGCTGAGATCTAGCACACAATCCAGAACTTACCCTTTAAAGCCACAGTTCAGTGGTTTTCCTATTCAAAGGGCTGCACAACCGTCAGCACCAGCAAACCCCAGGCCATTTCCTCACCCAGACCCTCCCCGCGGCCAGGCCCCTGCTTTGGGCCTCGACAGCTCTGCCTGTTAGAGCATGTCAGAGCTGGAACCCTATGGTGTGTGGACATCTGTGACTGGCATCCTTCACGCACTCAGACCCCGGGGCCGCCCGCGGTGGCCGCGTCAGGGCCCCGCTCCTCTGCAGCTGAATGACAGCGCATGTGTGGACAGCACGTTTCCATCTCCGCCGACACTATAGGCCCCTGGTGGCTTCCACCCTTGGCTACTGTGCAGAATGCTGCTACACACACGTATGTCCACTACATCCACTACAGACGAACGCCGCATATACATGCACCAGTAAGATTTTGTATGAACATAGGATTTTAATTCTCTCGGGTATATCTCATCATTTTTTAAAAGCTTCTTTGTAAAAAACCTTCTTTATCTGAGAAACACTGCGATTTAATAATAATCAGGTAGCTATCAGTGCTTCCACGAGTGCTAAGAACCCTGCTCCCTCCTGTGCCTACAGCCGCCCTCTCCCGGTGAGATGTTCCCAGACAGTGTCACCAGGAGCAGCTCTCCGCTCCCCACCCGGGGAGCCCATCAGGGGGGGCCGCCCAGCCCAGAGGAGCAGAGGAGCAGAGGGGGGCCGCCCAGCACAGAGGAGTGGAGGAGCGGAGGGGGGCCACCCAGCACAGAGGAGCGGAAGAGCGGAGGAGGAGCAGCTGCCCAGCCGGGCCCTGGAAGGAATGCTGGCAATGCAGAGGCTGTGGGAACAGCAGAGATTCCCACACCACGTGGCCCCAGGGCAGAGCCGCTCACTCTGCTCAAACTTAAAGCGCAAGTCTGGCTGTGGCTGGCCAGGGAGCGCTCCTTCGCCAGCGACATCCACACCACTGCTCACAGGCGGCTCTGCCTCGGCCGCAGGTGTGCAGGCCAGAGCACGCTCACCCGACTGCACAGCCAGGGCCACAGAACCCCGTGTTGCTCAGCAAGAACAAGTGATCAGGAGTCCAATTGAGTAGGCAGCTAAAGACAAAGAAGTAATATTTCCAAAAAATGCATTGTAATAAAGCTTTGTGATGAATGATTACGAAACACCCACCACTTCCCGGCAGGTGTGGCTCAGTGGTTGAGCATCGTATGAACCAGGAGGTCACGGTTCAATTCCGGTCAGGGCACATGCCGGGGTGCGGGCTCGATCCCCAGTGGGGGGTGTGCAGGGGGCAGCCGATCCATGATTCTCTCTCATCATTGATGTTTCTATATCTCCCTCTCCCTCTCCCTCCTTCTCTGAAATCAATAAAACATTAAAAAAAAGAATAAAGAAATACCTACCACTAATATGCACACCACACTAACATCCCCCCCGACCCCCAAGAAGGCACTGTGAGCAGCACTAATGACTCCACAGCTTTCTGGTCCAAGCCGCCTCCTGCTCCAGCTCTGCCTCCCAGCTCCAAAGGCCCAGCCAGGCCAGCGAGGGAGGAAGAGAGCAGGAGACGGGGGACAGCTGGCAGGGAAGGCTCAGAAGGAACGGCCACCACGCCCACCACTGAGAAGTGGCCGCTGGGCAGTGTCACCTGAACCAGCATCTCCAGTGAGTGAAGCTCGAGTGGGCTAGGGGTGGAGTCCATGTGTGAGGTGAGAAAGCAGACACTGTCCCCTGTGTGCTTACGAACACACGGTCCAGTCACTCTCCAGGGCTTCGAGTGACATGAGAAAGCCCGTTCACTGGCTCAACCCTGAGAATCCTAGGTATGTGCCGCGTTGAGCACCAGGGTCAGCAAGTGGGTGTGGCCTCGCCAGCTGCTGTGGGAAACCCCCCTTATTGTTTTATTTGTGTCTAATACCGTTTTACTAGCTCGCACCTCCTACTGACATATTTATACAACTCCTTCATATACTATTATACAATGCCTTCACCTATGATGCTGAACTATCCTTACCACTGTGTTCCTAAATGACAACTTCCTGTTAGCTTTTCTGAAAATAAAGTTCTACTTTTGCTAATCTACTAGTATAACAGTGAGCAGCCTTCAATATACAACTTGCTTGCCTGGCATAAACAGTTTCCTGAAGACTCTACCTATATTTCAATCTCTCAAAATCTGGTTTTGTCCTGGAGAGATTGTAGTTAAACAAAATCTTGGACAATTTATTTGGTAATGTGAATAGTCTTTTTTAAAAGAATGACTAACATTTAGTTTCAAGTAAGAAGGGAATTTAGAGACCATTAATATAACAATCTTTGAAGTAAACAATGTTAATTCAAGACACTATAACACAAACGTATGTTAAATAACAACCCTAATACTGAATCAACATATTTTGTGCCTGATCTTTCTTAAGCAATACTTCCAGGAACAAGCAATAACCAGGCCTTGATATATTTAGGGCTAAGACACACATCAGACACACCCACACCTGCTCCGCCAGCAGCACCACTGTCCACAGAGAAGGAAGAGTGGTGCCTGGTATAATGACTTAGATGTGTGAACAAGTGTCAGTTTTTTAAAAATCTCAATTGTTTTTCTACTTGCTAAGTCAGGATCAAATGAAGGTATTTTAGGAGCAAAATTAAAGATGTTTAGTAGCAAAACATATCAGACTAACGCATTACTAGTCACAACTTTCTTGAGGAAAAATTAACAGGCGGAGAAACAAGTCTTCTGGTTTTAATTAATCTCATTAAGCTGCGCCTGAAGCGCAGGGAAACAGGAAACACTGTTTCTAGACCTGCTGCTCACAGTCCATCTCCTCCGAGTGTGCGGATAATTACCTTCCGAACAGACGGCAACCGTGTTCCAGTTCCAGAAGTTAAAGAAGGAAACTGAGCAGTCAAACATTACATCAGGAATACAGACTTCTCTTCCCCTTTCAGTAACTTTGAGAACGATCTCAACTCAGAAAAATGGAAGCCCAATAACTGATCCATTATAGGTGGCTGGGTTCTTGTTAGACTAAGAAGCTCAAATGTATATCACTATTACACAATTTTAAAAATTACTTAAAAGTACTTGTTTTAAAACACATCACAAAATTGCTGTGGATTTAAAAAAATTAATTCTTAATAGGCATATAAACAGCCATCTCAGTTGAGATTAAATAATAAATGTGAACTGATTTTAAAGTGACGGATTAAGAAATATGTGTTAAATCTCCTTACACAGAGAAACAGCCTAGGCCTGCATGGGCTGAGGTACCCTCCCCCGCCCAGTTGGTTCTGGGCCCTGGCCCTGTGGGCCTGGCCTGGAGATGGGCCTCTGGGATGCAATTAAGATTCAGTGAGGTCAGAGCTGCGGCCTCCATCCGCCAGGGCCGTGTGCTCGTCAAGAGAGGGAGGCACAGAGGAGCCTGTGTGCGCACTGGGAAGGCCGCGTGAGGACACAGCTGGCGGGCGGCAGCCTCCCACGCCAGGAGGATGCTTCTCACCAGAAACCGCGGCCACAGGACACCTGGGCTCCAGGCCCCAGGCCCCAGGCCCCAGGCCCCAGGCTCCAGGCCCCAGGCTCCAGGCCGGGAGAAACGCAGGAAGCCTGCTGGTGCAAGCCGCCGCGGCGGAGGCGGCCGATGCCAGGCCTGGAGCTTGGATTGAAATGATGACTCTGAGTAAATATAACACAGGGAACAAATCTCTTTGCATACAAAGGTTTGTTTTACCTAAACAGGATACACACTCACATATCACATGCCCCGTACATGCAGTTAACCCTTGAACAACATGGTCAGGGTGCCAACCCCACCGTCAACATTCCCAGTCGCGTTTGACTCCAGGAAAGCCCCACCTCCCCTGGCCTTGCGGGGCGCTGGCTCCAGGACACCCGAGGGTGCCCGACCGCAATGCCGGTGCCTTCTGTGAACAGCACAGCATAGCAGACAGCGCCCTCCACACCTGCTGTCTGCAAACAGGAAGTCACCGCCTCCCCAAAGCCCCTTAAAGAGATGGTGTAACTCCTGTCTAACAAACAGGGACCCACAGCAAAAGGGATCAAGTAGCTGTCTGGGTTCCAGAACGCAGACACGTTAGGGAACGCAGCCCGAGCTCACGGTCACGTCCATCTCAGACTGTCCTGGCAAGATGGTACCTGACGAACACCGTGAGGAGGATGGAAAGGGAGAGAGTCGAGCTGCGCCCAGCTGATGCAGCCAGCCCAGGCGAGGTGCCGAAGTCACCTGGACCCTCCAGCCGCCCATTCCCACATCAGGCAGTGGAAGGCCCAGCCGGCCTCGCCTCTGGAGCCCTGCCCTGAGGCTGACCTGGGTGCAGACACACAGCTGCTACTGTCTGCAGTCACTCCATCCTGCGGAGCATTCACATCAGATCACAATGAATTAACTAAAAATAAATAAAATTAAAAATGATTTCCTCGCTGCACCGGCCGCGTTCTGACGTTCCCCAGTGCGTGGGGGAGCCACCACCTGGTCACGAGCGTCCCCGCAGCCCGCTCTCCGGGATGGCGGTGCCTGAGCCTGCTCAGGGTCATCAGGACGTCCCCAGGGACCGGTGTGTGGGGACCCATGTGTGGGGACCCGTGTGTGGGTGTCTCGCTTGTTCACGAGAGAAAACAGCAGGGCCACTGCTTTATGTTTACCCCCCATGTGCTCCCGGGTAGACGAGTCACCCACTTTTCTACAACATGGATGTCAAGAACACTCTCATTACTGGGGACATAAAGCAGCTTCCAAGTCCGTGACCCACTGTGTCGTGTTCTCCAGCAGACACGCCCCCACTTCTAGCTGGTTCTCACAGACTGACCGGGGTCTGTCCCGTCAGGTGTGTATTTCTGAAGCGACGAGGAAGCAGGCCGTAACACCAGGCAGCCGGCACCCAGACAGCCAGGAAGTGTCACCATTGGGGTTCCAATCCAGGCCTGTCAACGGCGTCACACAGAACCCTCACGGGGCATCGTGCACCCACACGGTGTCACCTGAACCCCGGCACCGACACGGAGCTTGGCCAGCCTCTGAACTGCACCTCTCGGGTGTGAGGCCTTGGCATGTGAACGAGAAGAACCCTCATTCCCTAAGGGTTACACAGACATTCACTCAGGGAAAACACGCTCATGCTTTCAATTGCTGGGAGACATAAACATCTTCTCTGGGAACAAAGACTTAAAGGTCATCGTCTTTAAAACGTTTTCAAAAGCAGCGAAGGCTCGCTTACCTTCCTGAGCAGCGAACATCTGACTGGCGGAAATGACCTTCGTCAGCTCGGGGTTGTACCGCGTCCCCTCCGGGAAAATCACCAGGTACATCTGTGGGCAGAAAGGGCGAGGCTCGGGGTGAGCTTTGCTGTTACCTCAGCCAGGCCAACCCCACGGATGCTAAGAGAGCGTCTCCCCCGGCCGGAAACAGCACGTTCGTTTACATCTGGCCTTCATTTCAAGCAGAGCAACCAAACGCAAAATTCAAATGGTCTAATCTAACACAGACGATATACAAAATGCAGTCTGCACTCACTGGTAAGTCAGTCATCAAGAACGGAACATTTCTGATTACCTGTTAATAGTCGTTAAATGAAAACGCAGCCACAAAACGCTGACTCATGCAAAGCCTCCATTAAGTAATAATTAATAAGAGTCCCTCTCTCTCCCAATTCTGCAAAATGACTTTAAAAAGGCGTAAATTTTAGACATCTGTGTCCCTAAGGACATCTTATTTGAGGAAAATCATATATAAATACGTAAATTTCCGTAATATAAAAGGTAACGAGTGTTCGCATTTCAAAAAGTACACAGTGTTACTTTACAGAGCTTTCTTGCTGCGTGCTAGCGGCTGGCTTTCTGAGCCACCGTACTTTAGGCCCTGGGGGGAAGGCACCACATCATGTGAGCCGAGTAACCCCTCGGTCCGGGCGGTCACTTACCTGCCTGGGAAGTCAGAACAGAAACAGTGAAACTGCAGGGTCAACTCCTAGCCTCAGAACTGAGCTACAAAAATGACACCAACATGTCTGGTAGCCAAAGGACAAAATAAGACTTCCATCCCACCTTTCCAAATGCACCACACACAGAAGTTAACTCAAACTAGATGGCAGCCTCAATGCACAGCTAAACCTATGAAACTTCCGGGAAGAAAACAGGAGAAAGTCTCATAATCTTGAGTTTGGCAAAGAATTCTAAAATAGGACACAAAAAGCAGAAATCTTAAAGAGAGGAATCAATGAATTGGAGGAACTAAAAACTGTTTTTCTTTTTAAAAAAATATACATATATTTTTATTGATTTCAGAGAAGAACGGAGAGGGAGAGAGAGATAGGGAGAAGGAGAGAGTCAATCATTGATCGGCTGCCTCCTGCACACCCCACACTGGGGATCGAGCCTGCAACCCGGGCATGTGCCCTGACCAGGAGTCCAACTGTGTCCTCCTGGTTCATAGGTCAACACTCAACCACCAAGTCAGGCAAACTGTTGCTCTTCAAGTCACTGTCAGGAATATGAAAAGGCAGCCCACAGACATGAGAGAAGTTAGATATTTTGTTGTCCCAAACTGAGACAAGCGGTGGCACCTCCACACAATGACATCCTACTCAGCAGTGAGAACAAAAACATTGACCCACACTTCACATGCTCATGCGATGAATCTCAAAGAAGCCATGCTCAGTGGAAGAGGCCAGACACCCACCCCCGCCAAACAGCCCAGCCTGTGTGACTCCCTTCATCTCCCCTGCAGTGACAGGGAGCACAGCAGCGACCGACTGCCTGGGGACAGAATGGCACAGCCCCACAGGTGACTCGGAGGTGATGGACACACCTGACTGATCAGTCTCCTGGACGTGTGCATAGAGCTCACCCACCCAGTCCCACCTGTACCACCTGGGCGTGTGCATACAGCACACCCCACCCAGTCCCACCTGGGCATATGCATACAGCACACCCCACCCAGTCCCACCTGGAACACCTGGGCATATGCATACAGCACACCCACCCAGTCTCACCTGGAACACCTGGACGTGTGCATACAGCACACCCCACCCAGTCCCACCTGGAACACCGGGGCGTGTGCATACAGCACCCCCACCCAGTCCTACCTGGAACATCTGGGCATATGCATACAGCACCCCCCCCCCAGTCCCACCTGGAACACCGGGGCGTGTGCATACAGCACCCCCACCCAGTCCTACCTGGAACATCTGGGCATATGCATACAGCACCCCCCCCCCAGTCCCACCTGGAACACCGGGGCGTGTGCATACAGCACCCCCACCCAGTCCTACCTGGAACATCTGGGCATATGCATACAGCACCCCCCCCCCAGTCCCACCTGGAACACCGGGGCGTGTGCATACAGCACCCCCACCCAGTCCTACCTGGAACATCTGGGCATATGCATACAGCACCCCCCCCCCAGTCCCACCTGGAACACCGGGGCGTGTGCATACAGCACCCCCACCCAGTCCTACCTGGAACATCTGGGCATATGCATACAGCACCCCCCCCCCAGTCCCACCTGGAACACCGGGGCGTGTGCATACAGCACCCCCACCCAGTCCTACCTGGAACATCTGGGCATATGCATACAGCACCCCCCCCCCAGTCCCACCTGGAACACCGGGGCGTGTGCATACAGCACCCCCACCCAGTCCTACCTGGAACATCTGGGCATATGCATACAGCACCCCCCCCCCAGTCCCACCTGGAACACCGGGGCGTGTGCATACAGCACCCCCACCCAGTCCTACCTGGAACATCTGGGCATATGCATACAGCACCCCCCCCCCAGTCCCACCTGGAACACCGGGGCGTGTGCATACAGCACCCCCACCCAGTCCTACCTGGAACATCTGGGCATATGCATACAGCACCCCCCCCCCAGTCCCACCTGGAACACCGGGGCGTGTGCATACAGCACCCCCACCCAGTCCTACCTGGAACATCTGGGCATATGCATACAGCACCCCCCCCCCAGTCCCACCTGGAACACCGGGGCGTGTGCATACAGCACCCCCACCCAGTCCTACCTGGAACATCTGGGCATATGCATACAGCACCCCCCCCCCAGTCCCACCTGGAACACCGGGGCGTGTGCATACAGCACCCCCACCCAGTCCTACCTGGAACATCTGGGCATATGCATACAGCACCCCCCCCCCAGTCCCACCTGGAACACCGGGGCGTGTGCATACAGCACCCCCACCCAGTCCTACCTGGAACATCTGGGCATATGCATACAGCACCCCCCCCCCAGTCCCACCTGGAACCCCTGGACATGTGCATACAGCACACCCACCCAGTCCCACCTGCTACACCTGCGGCTGCATGCACATCAGGCACCCGCACCAACAGCTCTTCCGTAGATAAAAGCCTTGCCCCTGCTGTGCTGTCGCAAATGACAGGTTTCCTTCTCTCTTGATACGTATTTTCCTTAGCCACTCCCCGACTGATGGACTCCTAGGTTGCATCCTTATCTTGGTTGCTGTGAATGTTACTGCAATGAACACGGATGCAGGTATCGCTTCGAGACAGTGGTCATATACATATTTTCGGATCTACACCCAGAAGTAGAACTGCCGGATCAGATGGCAGCTCTCGTTTTAATCCCTGGCGGGCCCTCTGTTCTGTTTGCCATAAGGAGGACACCAATTTAGGTTCCCACCGACAGTATCTAAGGGCTCCCTTCTCTCCACACCTCCTGACGTCCTGAGAGCAGCCACTCTACCAGGTGTGAGGTGACACCTGCCTGTGGCCCTGACGGGCGATCGGGGGCGTGGAGCACCTTGTCATGTTGCCCCCCCACCCCCAGGGCTTCTTTGGAGAGTGTGCAGTCAAGCCCTTTGCCCATTTCCGGGTGATGTGTTTTCTTGCTACTGAGCTGCTTGAGTCCCATGTATTTTCGAAATTAACACCTTACAGGACACGTGGTTTGCAATATTTTCTTCCTTTCCAGAGGCGCCTTTTTTCACTTGGGTTTGGTAAATCCAAAATTATTCCAAGCTTTTAAATTTATTAACAAAAAAATAAGAGGCTTTCATTTAGGGTGCCGAATGCTCAAAGAATCCCTCTCCCCACCCGAGAACACCAGCCCCACACGAACATCTGCAGGTGAGCCGTCCGGAGCGGAGCCACACGGCCCCCACCGTGCGAAACAAGGAGCGCTCGGCTGTGAACAGCACCTGCTGCAGGGCGCTTACCAGCTGCTGTGGAGGGAGAACTCCTCCTCACCACGCGCTGTAGGGAGGGCACAGGGAGGAGGAGCAGAGGAACAGAGGAGGACAGGAAGGAGCCTGACCCTGGAGGAGAGGTTCTGAGCCACAGGGCCCCCCGGGCACTGGAGGAAGCTCAGGCTCTGATTCCTGGGTTCTGGGGGAGCAGGGTGAGGGCGCCGGGCTTCTGTCAGCGTCTTTCTAAGTGAATACCGA